GAAGTCAGGGATCCAGCTGTGCGCTCTCCTGCCTGTCTGCACGCAGAGAGCTGCTGTTCCCCCTCTTTTGTCACTGGGCAAAGTGTGACCTTCGTCTCTACTTTCTCACAGCGGCAGGTATGTATTGTTCCCAGCCTTCGTCCCCTCATGGAAAATATTCATGTTATGCTATGTTACAGGGACGGTGATGCGCCATTACGCATGGCGCAATAGGCATGGGTTGTTATTGAGCAGGTGTGTCTGTGCTTCTAGTACCGGGCGGACCCAGTGGGGCGCAGACTACATCATGCTTCGCCCTTAACCCAATAGCGATAGCCTTAGAGGGCGAAGCCATATACGAAATAGAACTGAAGTTACCTACTGTAACCCCAGCTTCTATGAGTATTGGCGTAGCCCTCTAAGTGCTGGGCCCCACTGGCTCTACGAATAGCTGAAGAAAAGTTATTTTGTATGGGAGCAGATGGTCGGGCCTCCTTCCTATTTATACCGGAAGGGAGCCCGAGGGTGGGGCCCACCTTGCAGGTGGGCGTGGACTACAAGTGTTTCAGTGCTGCGCGGGTGCGCAGGGGGATTACCCAATAGCGATAGCCTTACCCCCAGTTTCCACCGGGTCCGTCTGCGCTGCGCTGCGCCGCGCTGCGCCGCGCTGCGCCGCGTCACGGTTTTGGTCCGACCTCCTCTAGTGCCATAACCCACCGGACGCGTCCCAGAAGCGTTTCAGAAGTGTAGCGTCGTGCGTGCAGGCTCGCAGTTTTGTTATTGATTCAGGCATCCTGGACATTTGTAGTTCTACAAGAAAGTAAGTAGGCTACGTAGTTAAATGTTTTATTTTTGTGTCTGTTTAAATTGTGTTTATTGAATGGCTCTGTACTGTACCTACAAGTATTAATTAACTTTAAAACATTAATATGTAGTTGTTACCTTCCACTCCACAAACTGCAGCGACTAAAAACCAGGCCTTGTCCTTTCTGATGTTGTCCTTGTAGTAAGCATTGGTTACATCATATAAAATAGTGTGTTTTTCCACTTCCATGATGAAAACCTCGTCGTCCATTGTGCGTATTGTAGTGGAGGTGTTGTGATGAAGGAGGGGGGTCTGCTAAATTAGTATATGTGGGGGATGGGCCTGGCCCGGATGCTCACCTTTCCACTTCCTGCAAGGGGGGGCTGCCTGCCCGACCTTACCTTTCGGCTGCGCCGTGGCAAAAATAGGATTCATCCTAATTTTAGAGAAGCGCTGCGCCGAGCCGCTTCTGGAACGCTTCTGGGACGCGTCTGAGCCGTAACGCGGCGCGTGTGGTGGAATAGCACCCATTGACTAGAGTGGCCGCGATCCTTACTAACCCCCTAATCCCACCAGGAGCGTCTGCGCTGCGCTGCGGCTGCGGCGTTTTTAGCGATCGCGGCCACTCTAGTCAATGGGTGCTATTCCACCAGACACGCTGCGCCGCGCTGCGCCGCGGCTCGAAGCGTCCCAGAAGCTCCTCGCCGCAAGGAATTTCTAAAATATAGGATGAATCCTATTTTTGACGTGGCGCAGCGCGGCGCAGGCAGGAAGTGGAATGTTCATCCAACAACTGCGAGGCTGCACACACGACGCTCCGCTTCCGCAACGTTTTGAAACGCGCTTGGTGGGTTAGGACGCAGGAGGAGGTCGCAGCGCGGCGCAGCCGCAGCGCAGACGCTTCCAGTGGGATCAGGGGGTAACGCGGCGCAGCCGTAACGCGGCGCAGCCGTAACACGGCGCAGCCGTAACGCGGCGCAGACGGACCCGGTGGAAACTGGGGGTTAGAGGGCTACGCCAATACTCATAGAAGCTGGAGTTACAGTAGGTAACTTCAGTTCTTATTATACATCCGTGGAGGGAACCCATGCGCAGCTTATTTCCGGGTAAATACGTCATCCCTGCACCACTATATTAGCCCAAGCCCAAGCAGTCTCTAGTGGGGAAAAAAACATACTAACAAGCTCCTTTAGAAATGAGTGACAAATTGCCTTATTGTTGTCTCTGTCTAAAATTCTGCTGGTGCTAACAAACTGCTCAACTGTGGTTTACACCCAAGCAGTGAGAGGAAACAGTTCCCCTTCATCATGAAATTGTTGCATGCAAGCTTTGAGATTAGATGCAAACCAACGTTTAAGTCAGACAAAATGTTCTTAGAAGCAGAGGTGCTCCAAGGACGGAAAAAAACCAAAGTCACTTTTCCAAGTTTGTTTTAGTTGCTAACTTTCACTTCCGCAGAAGGCGTTCACAGTCTTGCTTACAGGCAACAATCTTTTTTTTAGCTAGATAAGCTACTAAAGCAAGATTGCATTTTTCAGGAATACTACATTCACTGAGCCTGGAAAACGTACTTGATGTTTAACTCTTCCAAAAGACATCTGCTGCTCTGCTTCAAAGACATGTTTGAGTAACAAAACCTCAATCTTCAGATTGTTAAGCTATCAAGTTCTGGTAATAAATCATTCATGTTAGTATCAGGGAATAACAAGGGCAATAAACAAACATGACAAAAGGCTGAAACTATTTAGGTGAAATGTTTATTAACGGACTAGGAATGGAATGAAGTTAACATAGCAGCATCAAAGCCAAGATGAGAAATTGGCCTCACTATGAAGCATGCTCCCCATGATGAGCTTTTGGGTAATGTTTTGGAAGCTGTAAACTTTGTTGTTCACTCCATCCGTGAGTTTTATTGGCAGATGTTCCGGACATGCTGAGTTTGCCAGCCAACCAGAACACAAAGTTACGATTTGGGATGAGAAGTTACTTTGGAGAAGCTGTGTTATTATATCAACTTATTGCTATCATGGTTTTTGTACTCGCCTTAGTGGCGACACTTGACACATGATGTATATCCAGGGGTCAAATATCTGATTGCAGGTGGCCATTCGTATGAAGAACAAAACATTTTCATCTCTTTCAGGATCTGCAGTCATCTCAGTAGTCACCTGAGTCACGTACCTCAGAATATATATCTGTGCAGGGTGTCACACAACTGAGGTAAGACAGGACTGAAGAACAATATGTGCTCCAGTCAAGTTACTTTAGCCTTTTTGTTGCTTACTCTGATGGGCTACATTTTAAATCTATTTTTTTTATAAAAGTTATGAATTGACAACTTGTAGGTGTTGTAGATGGTTATTTACGCTGGTCTGAAAGCAAGATTGCATGTAAGATATGCAACACTAAGCTGTCTGTGGCTCTTTCCTGCTGTAACGCTGCAAATGTCCCCTCTGTGGGACTAATAAAGGTATTCTGATTCTGATTCTGAACACATAGGCACATAGATATCATTTTAAGCACAGATTAATACCATATGATCTTTTGACCTTATGTTGAGCAGTAATCAAAGGGCACTCCATACACCTCTGTCATTTATTTTGTATCAAAGCCAATACAAGTCAGTGTTTCCCCTACCATTGTCTTGGAGGGGCGCTGCGCCCCGCCAACGGAGCCCCGCACCCCCCCTGAAATTCAAGGTGTTTAAACAATAAATAAATATTATAATCTTTTTTTTTAATTAATTTTTTATATATATAAATATATATATTTATAGCACCAAATTGCAACTAATCTATATCTACTGTCACTTTTCACATTGAACATGTGCTCTTTTATTAAATAAACTAAACACTTTCATTTTAAGTTGTGAGTTTAGTGTTTTTGACCCTAAGAAACACTGATGCATCAATAACAATAATCCACAGCCTCTCTCTGCTCCAGAGGATTTAAAAAAATATATATCCCAATGCCCCCCCCCGCCCCGCCACGCTCAGGCAGCACCCCCCCAAAGCAGTAAACCTAGGGGAAACGCTGCAAGTAGGAACAAGCATGATGGTTTGTAGGAGTGTACGTAGGTTGGAGTAAATTCTTCTTGTTGCTTCTACAGTTGTAAACATTATACTTGTCCTCCAGCAAGACAATTAGTGGACTGGTCTCAGGAAAACAGCAGTTTAAAATAACTTGGGTTGTATTTTGTTGTAGCTTGTGCTATTAGTAATGATAGCATCTTATTCAGGATAGTAATAGCTAAGATCTTAGATAAAGCAACATCCCTAAACATTAAGGTTTTTCTAAATAAGTTATCCCCATATTTGTTCTTATAATCCAACTATGGCAATAGCAGTAGGTAAAAGTTAAAAGGTCACTTGGATTACACTTTACCTACACTTTTATTTTCCTTCCCAATTAATGTGTGTTTGTGTATTGATGTTGCCATGTTATCAGAGTGCAATGTTATATCGGATAGAACCAAAAGCTATAGCTACACAAGTTAAATCCAAGTTGTGATAAACTGGAGTTTACCTTAAAAGGCACTGATTTCACCCATGATCTGAAGCTGAAGCATTATCTCAACTAAGGCATTAAGGGGCTCTCTAATCCAGATCAAAGGGCTTTCAGATAAATTAGGGAGCTGCATTTCTTAGGAGAAGTGAAGCATATACATGGTAAGTGGACAAAAGGAGCTTAGGATCCTTTGATGCCTTATTATGGTTTCAACAATTGAAAAACAGCACAGATATTACCAAGAATAATGGATGACTCCATTACTAAGTGATTTGCAAAATAATATCTGGCTACATTTTAATTGCATTAGTCACCTTAAAATGTAGGTTGTTTCATGGTTACTTTGGTCAAGTGTACAGATCAGATCATACATCTGTTTTATTTTAGGGTGTCTTGTGGTGGATATTTAAAGACGTTGATAATGAATTTCAAAAATGTGCAAAATGTCAAGATGCTCATCTGTAAACACCAGGACTGAGGGAAGACAAATTCCCTCTTTTGCCTGCAGCCAAAAATGGCACATTCCCTTGTGATTTTATCACCACACTGTCAAACAGGGAGGAGTGTGAAGTGTGTTTTTGTTTCATCTTTATCTTTTGCCACACAACCAGTCCTTAAAATATTACATGCACACATATAGGGCTCATTTTAAATATTATTCAATATATACACAGTATATATTATTATTGTAAAAAATTGGCAAACTCACCAGAAGGGGGCACCAGCAGTTGGAAGCGATGACCATGATGAAGATGAGCTGAACCATCATCTCTATTTCGTGATCTCTGCGGCGCTGGTTCTTACCCTGTCCGCAGCACACCTTGATTAGCGTCACAATGCTCACCGTGTTTAGCAAAAATGACACAGCGATGCTCATCAACCCGAGCAGAGAGAAGATCAAGGAGAAGGCAAAATCATTCCCCTTAGAGCTGATGTTGAAAAAACACCAGGATCCAGGTATCTGCATGTGGTAGCTCCCGATTCCCGTTAGGGGCAGCAAAGCTATGCAGCCTGCGATCAACCACACCATCAGCACCATGAACACTGTCCGGCTCTTGGGCATGCTGCTGGAGTGTACAAATGGGTGGTTGATGCCAATGAAGCGCTCTATGGCCATGGCAGCACCAAGCATCAGTGGGCACAGTCCATAGAAGACCATAGACATACCCATGAAGTTGCATAAGTGGCAGTTTGGATCTAAGTTGCGCCAATTAAAGTGAGTGACGTGGTATGAAACCACGATGGACCCGGTGACCAGAAGACCCATGAAGTCAGTAACCACCAGGCCACCAAGGAAGATCATGAAGAAGGAGCGCGAGCGGCTGTGTGTCCGCCGGAAGGACTTGAGTAGAACTACGAAGGCGATTAAATTTGATGTGAGACCCAAGGCGCTGAAGATGGATGAGAAGTAGGCCGAGGCGTTGGGGATGGGCCTGAATGGAGGGCTGTTGATGGAGTAGCATAGTGGGGTGTTGTTGGCAAATGATGAGGCATTCATGATTATCAGCTGGTGTGAGTTCCTCGATTACAGATGACTCAGGGATGGAAGGAGGAATTTCATTTCCCTCTTCAACCTCAAAAGTTAAAAAAAAGAGAAAACGTAAACATTGAGACATTCAAAACACATGAAGAAATAGAGACATACTAAACTTTCTGCTGTGACAGTGGGCTGGTTTTGTTGCAATTCCAACATGCTTTTGTGGATGTAATGCTAAATGGTACTTTTCCAACTCTTTATTAAGGCAAGGTGTGTTGCATAACTGCTGGTGCTTGGATTCAATCTTCTACATGCATATTCTAAAGTAATGCATGGGTTTGGTCTCCGCTCCTCCGCTCCCTTCACTGGCTTCCGATAACTGCTAGAATCCACTTCAAGACAATGGTACTTGCGTACCATGCTGCGAATGGATCTGGCCCTTCCTACATCCAGGACATGGTTAAACCGTACACCCCAGCACGTGCACTCCGCTCTGCATCAACCAAACGACTCGCTGCACCCTCGCTGCGAAGGGGACCCAAGTTTCCATCAGCAAAAACACGTGGGTTTGCTATCCTGGCTCCTAAATGGTGGAATGAGCTCCCCATTGACATCAGGACAGCAGATAGCTTACACACCTTCCGGCGCAGACTGAAAACTCTCTTTCGACTCCACTTCGAGCGATAGAACTATTAACAAAGCACTTATATATACTAATAAAGGGCTGGCTTATCTAAAGCCAGTTGAGTAGCACTTGAAATGTTTTTGCACTCTGAAGCCTGATGTACTTATATGATTCTGTTTTCCTCAAGTTTGTATTTTGTTGGTCGAACGCACTTATTGTAAGTCGCTTTGGATAAAAGCGTCAGCTAAATGCAATGTAATGTAATGTCTAGTACATTCTTATTCATTTACATTAATTTACGTAACCATTTCACCAGGAGACTATGCTCCAATTCAAACACTGAGTAAGTGCATTGAACAAATCAATGACTGGATGTGTCAGAACTTTCTCCAATTAAACAAAGATAAAACTGAGGCAATGGTTTTTGGAGCCAAGGCAGAACGTTTAAAAGTTAGCGCTGAGCTTCAGTCTGCAATGTTCAAAACAACAGATAAAGCCAGAAATCTAGGTGTAGTCATGGACTCTGACCTGAGTTTCAACAGTCACATTAAAACAGTTACTAAATCAGCCTACTATCACCTAAAGAATATATCTAGGATTAAAAGACTAATGTCACAGCAGGATTTGGAAAAACGTGTCCATGCTTTTATCTTCAGTAGACTGGACTACTGTAATGGTGTCTTTGCAGGTCTCACTAAAAAATATATTAGAAAGCTGCAGCTGATTCAGAACGCTGCTGCTCGAGTCCTCACAAAGAAAGTGGATCACATCACTCCTGTTCTGAAGTCTTTACACTGGCTTCCTGTGTGTCAAAGAATAGATTTCAAAATACTGCTGCTGGTTTATAAAGCACTGAATGGTTTAGGCCCAAAATACATTTCTGACCTCCTGCTAAATTATGAACCATCCAGATCTCTGAGGTCTTCAGGGACTGGTCAGCTTTCTGTCCCCAGAGTCAGAACTAAACATGGAGAAGCAACGTTCAGTTATCATGCTCCAAATATCTGGAACAAACTCCCTGAAAACTGCAGGTCCGCTGCAACTCTGACTACTTTTAAATCCAGGCTGAAGACTTTTATTTTTGCCGCTGCTTTTAATTGAACTATTCACATCTTAGACTGCACTGTAACTTTTATCCATGTATTTTTTCTTTTATTGTTTCTTTTATTATCTTTTCTTTTTAATGACTGATTTTAAATGCCATTTTCTTAATGTCTTTCATTTTTTGTAAAGCACTTTGAATTGCCTTGTGTTGAAAGGTGCTATATAAATAAACTTGCCTTGCCTTGCCTTGCCTTACATTTCTTGCCATAATTTCCAGTGATTCAACATTTTATGTACAAAGTACTTGCTAAGATTTGGGAACATGGCTTTTGTATTTTGCTTAAACAATGGCTAACATTGAAAAAGGAGTTAGTAACAGTTTAGCCAGATTATCGGAGGTACATTTGAAAGTAAACTCACCAATGTTGCTGATAAATCCTAAATACTTAAAGTCAACATCAAAAGAGGTATTAAGGCTGCTAACTATGATAGACGATTACATGCGGCCATTTACTGTTTTTGTTTGTTTTTTTGTCTTCTGGTCTGATTGTGTGACTGTTACTGCTGCTTGCCCTGTCAGACACCTTTTGAGAAGATGTTCCCAGATCTTAGCAATCGTCCTTGCAGGTACAATAATTGCAACCAATACCGACAGACCCTATTTTATGTCTGTTTAAATCGATAACATTTTGTGAGCACATTTTTAGGATGGATATGCAAACCATATAAAGATAGGGCAAAAACACAACACCCACACATACAGACAGCATGGAGAGAGTGACATAGAGACTGCTATAGACAGAGAGTAGGAGAGCTGTCATATCCTGGCAGGAAATGCAGTTATATGAACAGTGCTGACAGAGTTACTCGAAATAAACACATAGTGTCACAATGGATCTGTGATGCTGTTCCTAGTGGTCTGTCCCCAATATCATGTCTGCCATAGTCAGACTGTATGAGGCTGGTGACAAGCTAGGTGCAGTTATGCATTAGGTCAGAAGGTGAAGTTAAATCAAATATGGGCAATACATAATAATGTTTTCCCTAAGCAAAACATTAGATTGATGGCATACTACAGTATAAGGATATTGATATAATCCCAAAATAGGAAGAAATATTAAATGTTTATGTAAGCCTCACGGATTTGCCAATTATGTCTTTGCTCATCTTTCAATAGTGATCTCAGTACGTCCTGTCTAATACTTCATTTGAATTTACTAGGTTAATAACACTGCACATAGCAAACTGTGGGTTTAACTTCCTGTGAGCTTCCTAACACTTGTTTCATCAGCCAACAAAAAGGTGTAAGGCCACTGTATGTCCTGCTATTTAATACTTTTCAAGATACGATCCAAATGTAGAAGGAAATAGAGTGACAGCTGAAGAGAAAAAGAAAGCAAACTAGAGGCCATACTTCAGCTAATGAGAAATAAACAAATAAATGGATAGTGTTTGATTAATAAACTGGGCATATATTTTCATTTATGGCTAAAATAGAGTGTTACATTTTTGGAAACTATTACATGCTTTGTTCTACGACATAAAAGACAGCGGTGATCCTCTACTCGTAGATTCTTTAAGCTTCTTTGTATCTTAAAAAAGAGCAGTCACATACTGTACAAGTAACCAAATAAGACTACTCCATCACGTCCAACACAGTGGCTTAGCTGTGGTGACATTAATTCATGCCACAAGGAGTAGTTCATTTGTGACTTATTTTGCTTTACATCAGGCAATTGAATTTAAGCTTCAAAAATCATAAAAGTGGGGTCCATCTGGTGATCATCACGGGTGTCATACACTTTTGTTTACAGAGTTTATTTTTGAGCAATAATCTAAAATCAAATACAAAATCCAACAGAGATGTTGTCGAAGGAACCAGTGCGATGCTAACTTGCGGGGTAGCCTACAACAATTACGTCGTCCCTGCAGCACTCTATAGCCCTGACAGTAACAGGCAACATTAAATTAAACATTAGGATCTAAAGCTAAAAGCTAACTACACTGTTATCAGGTCCTTCCATACCTTAGCTTAGAGAATACTATAAGGAGACAGTCGGAGATTGGCGCCAGCTCTTTTGTGACCCTAATAACCCTTTGAGTGTGCAATTAGACAAAAAATCCTGTTAGCATCTCAAATCAATATCCCATTTTGCTTTAAGGAGGCAGTACAGTGGTTTCCTATTCAAACTAATGGTCAACCACAGACACATAATCATGAGGTGCATGTACTCTATGCAATGGAACATGCAGTGTGTGCAAAATGTGTGTTAAGAGGTTCCTAAACTGAGCATGGGATCTTTTTCAGCCACTTAACAGACCAGCCTCCACAAGACAGAATTATATTAGTTACAGTTTGTGGTGCAAACCATTTTTTAATACAGTATACTTGTGGTTGCAAATTATTTTGAGACATCTGTGATGGTAAATGGTAAATGGACTGTACTTATATAGCACTTTATCAGATCTTTAAGACCCCTCAAAGCCAATTTTTCTTAGAAACTAACATTCACACACCGTTGGCCATGCCATCGGGAGCAACTCAGGGTTAAATATCTTGCCCAAGGATACATCTACCTGTAATAGTCTGCTGTACATCGAGTATTCTGCCCTGTATAACCCATCTGTAAAAAATTATACTATTTGTTTTATTTGTTTGTATTGCAAACCTTTTAATGGGATTTTATTAAAGATATCCCTTAGTAAAAACATTTCTTATGCAATACGTTATCAAGGCAACAGGGACAAATGCACATAGAGGTGATCAATTAGACGAGAGATAATGAAAACGTTGTGCTCTCACTGAGGTGAATAAATAAAATGGAAACTTCACAGCCTATAGATTTGACTAGGTCTTGCCAAGAATCTCAACTAAAAACACTGAATTGCTTTTTTTTTTACAAAAGTCTGATGTGTATACTGACAATATTTCTCAGAGTGAGCTAACTGCTTTCTTCATAAATATTGTTTAGCTTGTTTTTAGACAGTAGGTGTTTTTTTTCACAGACTACATAGAACAAGGTTGGATCAAAAAACATGAAATCCACAAGAATTCTCCCACAGGAGCCAAGCTTTAGTTTATTCTAACATCATCAGTGGTAGTTAATTAATATCGACTCTAGAATAGATGATGACGTCAAACATTAGCCATTAATCTCCGGTAAATATTTTGTTAAAGAAAATGTTAGGTTTGAATGAAGACTCTTTAAAATGGTGAAATAATGTTAAATCCCTACATTATCGTAATTTAAAGGTGGGGTATGTAATTTTGGAGAAACCAGATCGAGTGCGCTAGAATTTGAAAATACACAACTGGAAAAAATCTGCCACTTCCTTACAGAGCCCCTCCTCCAACACACACGAACGCGCACATGACCAATGGAGGGCACGAAATACATTTGTGCACACTGCACAGATGGAAGGCTGACAGGCTTCCACAGATTACATTTTTCGATGTATTTATTGTCAAAGCATTTAATATATTCATTGCTATCGGGATGTTAAGAGCATTCCATGGAATATAACAAAAAGTGTTTCTGAAATAAATTACATAACCCACCTTTAAAGGCTGTTATTGTCTTTAGTTAATCAGCACTGAACTAGGTGCTGATTAACTTGGTGTTGCTTCCCGTCAATGGGCTAAATTAACTCACTGAACTATGACTTTTTATATCTGATATAGGCCTAATAACAAATGCAAATCACAATTTGTTTAAACTATGCTCATGGACGCGGGAAGGGGGGTGCTGAGGCCCTCAGCCTGAGGGGGCTGCAGCACCCCCATCTGTTGGCGGAGAGTTGTAACTGCAACACCAAGTTATGCTTCTTCTGTTGCTCTGCTATATAAAAGAAGCTCGTCAGTGCAGACAAGATCAGGGATGGGAGTTTTGTGAAAGGAGGATTTAACAACTGGCGAAAGGCAGGGGAAAAATCTACGGAGCATGAGAAGTCCCATCAACACACAGGCCGTCAACAAACTGGCAGCCTTAAAACGAACACCGATGAATGCGCTGCTCTGACAAGCGGTTGCTAAAGACCAAATGCATTTAATATGACGTTATTATGGGCTGCCCCTCCCTACACGCAGATCACGCAGACTGTGAGGCAGATTGAGGTGAGGCAAAATGTGGCTCATTTTGCGGAGGGAGCCTCATCTGAAGCGCAAACGCGGCGCACAGTGTAAGCGCGCCACAGTTTCGCCGCTGTGAGGCTCCACTAGCACCTCACCTAGAAATTAAAAATGTAAGTTTCATAACAACACAATTTCCCGATTTTGGATCAACAAAGTATTATCTTATACTAACAGAACTACGCCTATATTGCGTACAGCGCCCATAAACTATGGAACCCCCCCCCCAAATCAAGTTGAACTGCCCCAGCCCCAGTAAAAACCAGAGGTTTATGTGAAATTGTTCTTTTTTTTAGAAATAATGGTTTTAGTGTGCAATTATAGGTTTTAATTTTGTATTTGTGTTAATTTAAAATAAATCAAACTCCCAAAAAACGTACACAGCTTCTGTGTGCTTTTATTAACATAGGAATTTACTGTGTAAGCGGCTGCGGGGGGGGGGGAGAGCTTTAGAGAGCTCTCTCCTGAAAGACTGAGAGGCTCTGATAACCTCAGCTCAGTTGTTATTAATAAACAAGAATACAGTTTGAAAGGGGAGTGATTTGTAAAATATCCATAAAGAAAAAGAAAGCACCAGCTAAAATCTTGCCTAGGGCAGCAAATTAGTCAGGGCCGGCCCTGCCCTGTGTACAACAATTCCTACATTGGTGTTCCCTTACTTCCTCTATTTTTTTTTTAATTAGACATTTTAGGTGTTTCATGCTTCATAGCTGTTCTTTCAGAAGTTAATTTACTAAGAGATGAAATGGGTCTTACCAGTACAGACGCACTATCAAGTTCCAGTTGACTTTCACTTTGGAGGTTTGCTCTGTTCCCTTCAAACCATCTTTCTGCACTTGTTAGATAAATAACAAACCCAATAGTCACAGGAAGAGGAGGGAAACCGGTTGCATATCAAGTCCCATCTGATGTAAATATATTAAGAACAACAGCAGGCTTTTAGCAGAAACCCTCGATCATCTCCACTCTCTTCCCCCGCAGCTCAGATACTCATCTCTGTCCCGAAAGTCAGGCTTTCCTTTGCTCAGTTCTCCCCTCCCCGGAAGACAAAAGGGGAAGGGCTCCTGGAAGACACCACATGGTTTAGGCAAGAGAATAGGCAACAGAGAAAAAGTCCCTGCAGGCATTAAACTGAATGTGTAGTGCACAAAGGTGCAAATAGGCTTTTGTATTGTGTATTGGGTGCATAGGAGTATTTCTACAAGCTGTAAAAACATGTTTTCTTAACTTTTGCACTGAGCATAGATTTGAATAGCTACAATGCTGACATTGAGATGTGTCCCAACATTATATAATCTGATACTCAAAGAAAACTGAAAAAAGGCTCATAGCTATTGTTTTCTTTACATAAAACTGTAAACAAAAAGAAAGTGTACAACATGTTTTATAATACATAATGCTGTCGGAGAAGAGACTTGGATGGAGTAATCAATCTGTTTTAAGGACATAGGTTTCAAGACAATTACAGAGCAATTGGAAAAAGCTGGACATGCCATCAGCAGATGCTTTTATTTCTTTGGTTTCAGGTTTTACATCTGAATCTGACCTTTTCACAGTTTATATAACTTAACGACTTGTTCACATATGCGATGCAGATGTGGAGCACGGCTGCCAGATAAATTCAGCGAAAAGCATGGCCTGTAAATCGGTGACAAGGAGAATGTAGCAGGAATGAAGGTTTATAAAAGTACAAAAGTTACAGTCCTTACATTTGTGCTGAATTTCGAATGTTGGACATATTTTCTTCAGAAGACATTACGTTAACAGTCTTAAAAGACTATACTAGGCTATACTGGGGCGGTGATTAGCTTAGCTTAATTTAGCATGAAGAGTGGAAGTAAGCCAGTGGGGGAAAAAACTTCAAACATCTATAGATAAAAGACTTCTTAGCTAACTTGTGTGTTAATACCAAGCACAAATACAAATATAAAAATAACCATTTGTGGTTAAAGGGGGTGTTGGGTGGTATAACCTTTCATTGATGAGCAACAGCTGTGCAAAGTGACTATTGGATATTAAAAACCCTTTCATGCATGAATTATGAAAGCCTCAGTCAGGATTTTTTTTACCAAGTGTTATTATTGCTCTTGGTGCATGAAAAACAAGATTTGAACTTTTTTTTTTTTTAATCTAGTTTTTTCAAATAGATTTGTATATGTCCACTCAGGTGGACAGTATGCGTTCAGGGTTTGAACTGAAGAGATGTACATTTTGAAAATATGATAAATAAAGATGTGCAAACTTAAAATTACATTATAATAATATAAGTATTGATTTACGGCCCAAAAAGATATTGCAGATTAAGTATTTTCAATTTGAGGCCCCACGCAGTTATTTGATGAGTGCTAATGGTGCCTTGCAGTGGCGAAACCGTGCCGCGCCACCCTAATTGCGCCACATAAGCGCATAGGTGCGCCTCAGATGAGGCCCCCTCCGCAAGGTGTGGCCCCCTCCACAAGGTGATGCCCCACACAATCTGCATGATCTGCCTGTAGGGAGGGACGGCACTGGGAACAACAGCAGCAGTACCAGTATGAATTGTAGTTGAAATATAGCCAGTGATGCATGACGTCCACTGTAGTGGACAGGTGGTTAATCATGATTTCCTGCAAACTGTTAATGTATTATAGAACCCTGAAGGCAGTAGAGACTGAAAAGTTAACAGCATTTAATTACACACAAGATGCGGTGGTGTACAAAATGAAATGTGCGAGTCGAGGCGGGTCAGCAGGTAGAAGAGGTCAATTCTTGGCTTGCTCTTCCTGTTGTCATCTGAGATCTTCTCCTATTGGCCGGCGTCGTCGGGGGGCGGGTCCAATGCAATTCCTGCCTTTTTCTGTTGTTAAATTACATCATTCTGGTGTCTGTGGTTATTTAAACATTCCCTAATAAACGTTATTTAGCGGCAATAAATGAGTGCTAAACCCAGTGTGCTCAGTGTACAACATCACATCATTTCACCTTTGATTCACGGTTTAAAAATATAGCATTTCGCCACATGCTAATGCTAACCGGAAGTGAATAATTTTCAGAATAAAAGTGTTAAGTTAATAGTTAGTGAACTTCAGGTTTTTCAGAATAAAACTGATTTTAATTAAATAGTGTATTTAATTCAAATTACGCCATATCAACATTGATTTTAATTTCTAACAAAACATGACATCAATACTTTGATAATTTATGAATTATATGATTCCTTAGTTGTTACTTGATGTCACCACATTTGTTATACCTGCAGGGGACGCTTTCCATAAAAGGATTGGCAAGATATAGTTGGGTGACTTGGTCCATGTGGCTTTCTGTCGTCCATCTTGGTTTAGAGACATGTATCATGCACTTACACTGACTTGGCACTGAGTGGCAGTGTATGGGATGATGCAATAGGGTCCTATGTAGTGGCTGATGGTGCAACTATGCAAAAAAAAACAATGCATATACAAGAAAACACCTTTTGAATAGCTGTCCACTGTAGTGACCTCTATGCATGAAATGGTTTTAAAGAGAGGTTTCCATGCAGGCAACCAGGACTATAGTTGGAGATGCTCAGTACAAAGGAGTAGGTGGTGCATAAATTACTGTGCATCTATAATCTAATTTCTACCCACAAAGGTCTAACAATAAAGATGAAGTTATGGTTTTGTTTCCTTTGGCTGTACTCCTCTCCAGCACACATTCATACACACATACACTCACTTACAAGAAGTGTTTGAAGCGATTTACCACAGTCTATAAAATGTTTGCATTACAAAACCACAAAGTCAAAGTCGATAGTATCTGCAGGACGGAAACAACTGAAGACTCATAGCTTTGGCCAGCCTCACAAGTTCTAAGAGAGAATAAGGCAGCCACGGGATCATCACTGACCATAAAATCATAATCTGGATCCTATCCAATGAACACATGAGAGACTCTCCAAATAGCAAAAATGTAAACAAGAATGAAAGTGATGGATTATGGTGTCAGTGAGAAATTGTTGTAATTTTCCCACCCATTACCAACACTTTGAGCAATCTCATTTCTTGTTTGTGCAGCCTTTTGCCAATTTGAAGAAACAGAGGCCTGTAATTTGTGTGTGATCTCTCAAACAGGCCTATCATTTGATGCTCAAGGAGTAGGAAAAGTGGGGCTATTATTTTCAGGTTAGGCACAAAAGGAAGATGAATAGTTTTTTTTAATGATAACCTGGAGATGTGTTATGCTTTTATTAATTCCAGAATGTATTACTATATCGTCCTTTATTTAGGGTTTGGCAGCAAACATATAGCTTGTAATAGTTACCAATGACTAATTAATAAATGATTAATTTAATAAAATACGATATCCCTGCTATGCAGCTTGATGAGAGTGATGGGTGAGGCTATCAGCAACATATTATGGTGCATCACACATTATGATACATGTTGCTTTCAAGTTTCCCTTTTAAGGGGTATGCCAACAATCTAATAATAATAATTCCTTACATTTATTATAGCGCTTTTTCAATGACTCAAAGCGCTTTACATATACACACATTACACATATATTATACATGCAATGGTCAGATACTGTGGACAATACCCACAGGAGCAAGTTCAGGTGAAGTGTCTTGCCCAAGGACACACCGGCTTTACAGACGCAGCAGCGGCGGGTTTCACCCCTTGATCTGATGATCATTGCACAGCGCACTGCACCACACCATCCATCTTCACGCCTCGAGGTCATCGAGGCGCTTTTACAAGTACACATTGGTATTATACATGTACTGTGGACAATACCCACAGGAGCAAATCCGGGTGAAGTGTCTTGCCCAAGGACACAACGGCCTGACGCAGTGGCGGCAGGAGCAGGTTTCGAACTGGAGTTCCCCAGCACTCCCCCTTGATCTGATGATCGGATGCACAGATCACTGCGCCACCCGTCCCCAATACATAATTAACCAATACATGATAATTTAAAAAGACAATAAATCTAATCTTATGCACAAAACAAAAAATAGGACAACAGAAGAGCTAATTATTATGATCGATAGAGGATCCACTAACTTTACCAAGCTACGGCCTTGCTTTAGGCCCATGTTGATGTGTTTTCTCTTACAAGAGCGCTACTGATATTCCCTCATCTATTCCCCATGTGATAGATGAAAGGGTTTGAGATAAGGAATGAAATGGTGGGTGTCCGAATAACTACAATTTATTACACTTGAGCCATCCCTTGGGCTTTATACCGGGGTTATGTGAGGGATGACTTTAGGGAGAAAATAGATGCCGTGCAGAGTAGAACCGAGATTAGAAACACGTTGAAGCAACTAGCAGACCAAACACCATTTCTTTCCCCAATATCGTAAACATGGATCTGATGCAGCGGGTACCATTTCAAGCGTAGCGTGCTTAGATGACATTTGTTCTGCTGTGGATGTTTGTGTAAATATTATGACCCCTGAGAGCGTGTTCACACAGCAGGCTACATCTAAATGTCACCTCTTTGCTGCATTTTTACAATCCTTCAACACTAAAGCTGTATTTCTCACACAAAAGGCTATGTTTTGAAGAGTGGACAAATCTGAAAGGGCATTGTGTGTATGTTGAAAGGAAGCTAAAGGCAGGGCCGCCCTTCCCTACACGCATAACATGCAGATTTATGTGTCGATTAGTGTAGGCGCGGCATAGTTTCGCATAGCTCTACTAGCACCCCCCCCCCCCGGGCGTTGGCCTAATGTAACAAACAAATGGCACATTTGTCTTGTAAATAAAAAGGGATCACAGTGAACGTGACGTATGATAGTACACGTTGAAGATCCAATGGGGATACTGAATGGCGGTTCCGATGGATCTCAATCAGTAATGCATGACGCAGACCCAACGTTTCGTTGCTCTGATTGGCTGTAGGTCTATTCAAATTGCATTCGGAGGCATTTTGATCTGACCGCGGCCGCGCTGATATTATAACGCCAGAGAATTTCCACACCATTAGTGTATATACAACTCCCCCACTACTTAGACTATTCCTTGTACCACTTTTCTAGCATAAC